AACAGCAAGAAAACGGCCTGAGCAGAGGTCAGGCAAGGTCATGGTCAAAGCATATATACGAAATGCAGCTAAAAGCATTTAGCTTTACAAATGTATATACATATATTATGGACTATTGTGGAGGTCAGCAGCAGTCCACGCTGTCTGCTTCAGCTGCCTCTTCTCTGGCAACGGCCCACGCCTCGACTTGTAAATTTCATAATTATAAATATTTTGTGTATATTTTTGTTTTTGTTTTTTTTTTTTACATTTTCTTGACGTTTTATGCGCCTCTTACACGCATTTGCCGCACAGTGGCTGCCTTTAATTTATTGTTGTATTAATAACGCGAAGCGTCTTGACTTTTAATGAAAACCCAACAACAATGCATATTTGGCTAATGGGCCGAGAGCACGCAAAAACCTAGAATACTGCAGTCGGGTGTAACCGACTATTGAAATAGCTAATTTTGAAACTTATTCAAAATTAATATATCGGAATTTGCCTAGCCTCAATGGACAAACTATAAAATAATGAGTTATCTGTGGAAAAGGTTAAGGAAAATTGGACAGAGAGAGATCAATAGATAATTTGGCATTAAGACGAATATTGTAAACAACCAATATACCCCTATTTTCACTTGGAGAGCGAGTAGTAAAACAATTTGTAACTGCACAGCAAAAGCGCATAGAATTATTTATATAAATATTTAATAAATATACACAAATTCTCTACTTTGTTAGCCTTGCTGGGCTTGACATTATTTGTGCTAAGGACAATGTAATATACATACACACGCATACGCACACACATATATACATATGTACACTCGACTGTCAAGGCAACCAATCGGGTCAAGTGTAAACATCAATATTATATATATATATATTTTTTTTTTTTTTGTGACATTTTGGACGCCAAGTTGATTTGGTTAAACGCAAAGTTCAATGCAAAAAGTGAGCATGTATTCAGAGGGAGAAAGAGAGAGAGAAAGATAAAGAGAGAGTGAGAGAGACAGGTAGCAAACTAAGGCCTATGCTCTGGAGGCAATCAATGCAATTTTCGTGCACGCAAAAGTTTTAATTACGAAAAAGTAAAAAAGAAACAAGTGATAAAACGAATAACAATTACGAGTAGGGAAATTTTGGGAAAAGAGCTGAGGAATTATCACTATAGCGAAGGCAATTTAATTAACCCAAACACTTGAATATTTTTAATTTATTATCAATCAGTCGAAGTCACAATAAAAATACAGAAGAATGATATAAGAAGGAAAAAAAATATTTCCAAAATATTATGTAAAAAATATACAAAATGTATAAATGTTGAAAAATGAAAACAAAATAAATATATATTTAAATATAATAAATAAATATAATTAATTTTTGTATTTCGTATATATGAAAATTAAATAATAATATTATATATAATTATAACAAGTCTTTGAAATATACATATTTAATTGATGTAATTTAATTCACTTATTTACATGAAAAATTTTAATTACACAAAAATGTAATAATATTAAAAATGTTTTTTTATAAATAATAATATGAAAATAATATATATTTTATTTTAATATATTTAAATACTTGTATGTATTGTGTATATTATAAATAAAAATAAAATATATTTACTTTTTATTATAATAAAAATATTAATTATTAAGATATTATTTTCCTATAAATTTTTTTTTTATTTATTTTTTTTTTTTTTTTTTCAATGAGTTCATGAAATCAATAAATTGAATTGAAGCTGAGAAGTTTATATTATTACAAATGCTCTCGTTTAAGGATGCATACCTTATATACTTTATATATGTATATAAATTTCCGATATTAGATAATGCATTCTAATCTCTTTTCGACATTATATAATCAGTTTGGTAGTAAAATATTTGTAGTATATGTATAACCACAAAGTATTATATTACTACTTGTGACAGAAACAGAGAAATTTCTTATCTAGCGTCGCACAGTTAGTGTCAAACGTGAATTATTTTCAACTCATTGATTGAGCATTTGAACATTTGAAAAATAAATAATAAATAAAAAGCTCTGACATTTGGCATTATCTCGATTTGTGATTCCCAGCAACTGGCAATGGCAACTGACCGTCCGTCCGGTCAGAGTCGAGAAAGAGCACGTATTTGGAATTATTTGAATAGAAGGAACATGTGCTCAACATGTGGGACGAGCAGGTTGCCAAAGCCTTTGACGACCCACCGACACATATAGAAATTTTCATGAATTTCGACTCACAGACAGCTGCAGCGAGTCAAACTAATTAAAAGAATGACCGGCACGCGTTCAAGAGGGCGAAAGGAGAGCATTAGAAGGAGGAGGAGAAGGCGGAGGAAGCAGCAGCTGTCTAAAGCACAATCCGAACAATTTGAGTTGTTGATGAACTCAGTTCGGATTAGTGTGCTTAAGAGGCGAACGCTGTGCTTCATCAACTTCAAGGCGATGTCCAAAGAGAAACAAACAACCATCAATCGTAAGTCACTTATGGAGCAAATTTTCCACAACTTTTCAGGCATATATCACAATACAGATCTGTTGGGGAATTGAGTGTAAGTATAGAGTGTAAATGACGTTTGCTTATTGAAGAAAACCTACACAAATGAAAGGTAATACATATATCAATGATATCCAATACCCACCCTTGTGGCGACACCAGGCTGTATAAATAAAGCGAAATGCTGAGCTAGAGATTCATTTCCTATAAATTAGCTTGTTTATGAAACCAAAAGCAAACCACAAAATTTGATTAAAGCCGGCAGACAAGAATGAGGCGAGACTTTTTCGAAGGTTTCTGGTGGGTTTTTGATGGACTTGAAACAGAAAACCGAATAGACGTAGAAATTCAAATTTTTTGTATGTTCAAGATTGAGTCAAAAATAAATATAGTTATTAAATTTCAACAGAATATACATATAATATACATATATTTAATTTAAATATATATTTGCATTTGCTCATTTTTTAAAAAATACTTATAAAAAAAATACTCCATTTTAATGTTAGATAAAAGCAAAACCAATATAGCGTAAATAATTCCAATTGGATACTCACTGTTATTTGTTATTTGTTGCGACTGGGTATGAAAAATCCAATTGGGGTTTCTGTTGTGGTTGGTGTGTGTGTGTGTTTGTATGTGAGTGCGTCTATGTGAATTGTGTTGATGTTCTGTGTTGTGTTTGTGTTGTATGGTAAGTATATGACCAGCTAGACCCAAGTAGATGTAAAGGTTGCAGTTGTTGTAGTTGTAGTGGTAGCACTAGTAGTAGTAGTAGTTGTTGTAGTTGTTGTAGTTGTTGTAGTTGTTGTAGTTGTAGTAAGTTGTAGACATATAGACGAGACGACGACGACAACAACAACGACGATTGTAGCGACAATGGTGAATTGAATGCGAATTGTTGTTTGTGCAACGTCTTCTAGAATTCGGCAAACTCCTTGGCGCACTTCTCGGTGCTGGAAATTCGCAACGCCTCCTCCTCGTAATCATCGAAATTGCTTGTGTCTCCGGGCCCTTTACACCGCGGTATGAACGGCGCCTCGATTTTCTTTTGGAAGATCGCTATCCAGTCCGTGGAGGCGAACCATTTCTGATTCTTAATATCATTGACGCCCGCTTTCAGATTGCCATAGCGTTTGGTCAGATCCACTTGCAACAAGTTGCGCAACAGATCCTTCAGATCGGAGCCGAAGTGCGAGGGGAAACGCACCTTGCCGGAGACGATCTTCTCGTAGATCTGTATGGGTTGGTCCGCAAAGAACGGCGGATAGCCGGCGGCCATTTCATAGACCAGCACGCCCAACGCCCACCAATCGACGGCCTTGTTGTAGCCCTTGGACAAGATTATTTCGGGTGCCAGATATTCGGGTGTGCCGCACAGCGTCCAGGTGCGACCCTTGACACGTTTGGCAAAACCGAAATCGGTGACCTTCAAATAACCCTGCGAATCAATCAGCAAATTCTCCGGCTTCAGATCGCGATAGATGAGGTCCAGATAATGCAAATACTCAAAGGCGAGCACAATCTGTGCCGCATAGAAACGAGAGTGGGGCTCCGAGAATCTTCCGACTTTGCGCAGATGCGAGAACATCTCGCCGCCGGGCACATACTCCAGCACCATATAGAGATTGGAGTTGTCCTTGAAATGATAGCGGAGCGAGACCAAGAATGGGAACTGTATCGCCTGCAGGATGCGCTTCTCATTGAGCGTATGCTCCACCTGCTTCAGCTTGACCACCTTCTGCTTGTCCAATATCTTCATGGCATAATAGTCTTTTGTTGGCTTGTGCTGGACGATCATCACACGGCCAAAGGAGCCGGTGCCCAGTGTCTTGATCCGCTCGAAATCATCGAGCGCCGCCGTATTGGTTGGATTGCGACGCCATTTATCCTCGAACTCCTCCTTGGCCTGTTCGAGAAACTCCTTCACCGTCTCGGCGGCATCCACCTTCTTGTTGGATGTGGTCGCGTTGTTGCCCATTTTCGAGATGGTGCCCGTCAGCGAGGACAAACGAAACGTGGCGCTGGCCGAGACCTGGGCCTGGGGTGAGCTGTTGCTGTTGCCTGGATTGTTCGCCAGCGGCGGCTCCTCACCAGAGGCAGCAGCTGTGTCTTTCGCTTTGGCTATGCCGGCTCCGGCTCCGACTCCTGAATCAACACCAGCCGCTGATGTTCTTGCTGCTGTAGCTCCTGCTCCTGCTGCTGATGATGATGATGTGGCTGTGGTCGGCGGCGTTATTTTGTGGCTAGCGGCGGCTGCTTCCTGCTGTCCTCCACCTGCACCACCGCCTTCCTCCTCGTTGCTGTTCTGCTGCTGTAGCTTGCCCTCTGATCCGCTGCCGCTGCCGCTTGCCGTCCCTGAACTATGATGGGATTTTTTCTTTTTTAGAAATTGTAAAATGGATTTAGCTATTTTGGCGAATTGATTAACAACGGTAAAAAGGAAATTTTTAATGCAATTGGGCTGATTGCAAAGCGCAGCTATTCACGTTTAGCCGTTTTTCTTTTAGCCTTCGTTTTCTTAGCCGTCAAATCGGACTGTTTAACTAGTGCTTTTGTTGGATTAGTGGAAGCTTCAGCTTTTGTTGTTGTTGGTGTTGTTTTTTTTTTAATTATTTTTTTTAGTTTTAACTATTTATTGCAGTTTTGTTTTCATTAATTTTATATATAACTGTGTTTCGTTTTTACTTTTGTTAACACTTTGCGGGCTTAAACTAGTTTTACACTTTAAGCTTAGATTAACATTTGGTTTAACACTTGAAATTTGCTTAAATTCCGCTTTTTAATTTAAATTTTATTTTTTTTTTTTTTTTTCTGTGTAGCTGCAAAGAGAATGGTGTAAGAAAAGGATAAAACAAAAATTAGCATTGAAAATTTTGATATATTGTTGTTTATTTATTTATATTTATTTTTTTTTTTTTTTTTTTAAATATGTGCACAATAATTCGAGAAATTTTAAAGTTTTTATTTTTATTTTCTTTTACTTTTCACTGTTCTTTTTTTATTTTTCATTGCATTTTAGTTCTTATTTCATATATTGATTTTGCTCTTGACTTTGTTTGTCTTTGCATTTGCTTTTGCGTCAATTGAAACCAAACTATGCATAGAAAACAATTTAACTCAATAAATAAATCAATTTGCATTAATTAACACAACGAAAAAATCAAAGCGCAACTCGCTCAGGCAGCAAAAACAGTAGCAAAGAAAATATAACAACAACAGCAAAAGCCAAAAAGTAAAGTCAAATACAGAAACAAAAAAAAAAGCCAAGAAAAAAACAACACGGGCGACGATCGTGTCAAGTGTCAGAACAGCTGATGACCGACATATGGTGCGTGCTCGCTCGCACCCAATAGCAGCTGCATCAGCTGCCAGCTCAGTGAGCACTTTTGTCTTCGCAGCTAAACTCAAGCTAAAGCATTAAATTAATTATTAAATCTTTCGCTTTGCGTTTGCATTTGCACTCACACGCACCAATACAGATTCACACACACATAGACTGTGTTTTGCTTTTGCACTTGTTTTTCTTTTTCGCAATTGCCTTTGCGCTCATTTACTTTGTATACGCGTTTAGCCGTTTATCTCTGTATGTGTGTGTGTGCGAGTGTAAGCAAAGGTATTTGGATGTGTGTGTACGTTTCTGGTTGGATTTTTTTACGCTCTGCTTTTGGTATACACTTCTCTACATTTTTCAGTTTGCTTCGTCGTATTTTTGTCTTCTCAATTGTCTTCGCTGTATTTTAAATTAGTTAAATTGACATATTATGATAAGTTTTCCGTTTATAGTTGTATGCCCAGTGCATAAAAAACTTAAAACAAACACACACACACGCTCGCTTGCTCACTCACACATGCACCGTGCTATACACATACGCATATGCATACACACACGTACACACACAGATTGAATAATCGATTTTGCTACACACACACGCTAAAAATTGCTTTGCATTTGCTTTAATTTACCTTTATTTAACTAATATTATGTTTATCGTAATCTTCAACACATTTAGAAATTTTTGCAATTTTTTCATGAATTTTTTGTATTTTTTCTTTATTTTGCACTTTAAATTTGTTGCTTAGATTAAAATACCCGCATTTACCGCCGAAAAAACCCGACCACACGCGTCAACAGCAAGATATACAATAACAGTTTTGTGTAACAGCTGTTAGCGTCGACGCACGATGTTAACAAGTGCTGTTCTCAACAGTCCAATAAGATGTACGTGCAAGTAATCTTATGAGAGCGGAGAGAGTAATCCTATTGGTGTAGGAACATGTTGCACTGTTAAACAAACTTCGCCGCATTATTCGATATGTTCGATGATAATTCATTTAATAAGCACAGTACAAGCTTCAATCTATTTAATATATAACTTGTGAATTTAAAAATTGTGTAATCTATTTAAATTACAAAGATAAATAAAAAAAAACACCGAAAACTATATTTAAATTTAAAAAAATATGTTATCGTTATCGATGAATTGTCGAAATACAGTTCGTCGTATTTATACCAAAAACTAGTATATTTGTAGGTATTTGCTGATAACCCGTCTGCAGCTTACATATTGTATTGATATAGAAGGAAAACATAAACAAGTAGAGGATTGAAAATCATTGACTTTCCATTTAAAATGGACGAAGTTTGTCGCGTTTGCAGAAGCAGCGCTGTTACTCTAGTGGATATATTCGCCAAGCGCGACCGATCCGACGAATCCGAGCCCTGTCTGGCCGAAATGCTGAACGAATGCGTTGACTGTCTGGTACGACGCGACGATCCGTTTCCCAAACAAATTTGCTTATCCTGTGTGCTGGCTGCGCAAAATGCATATCGTTTCAAACGGAGATGCGAGCAGAGCTATCAACACTTCTGTCAGATGCTGCGCGAGGCGTGGCAATATCCGCAGTGCACCATCAAAGTAGAAGCTAAGGAAATTGAGGAAGAGGAGCGAGGAGTCAATAGGGACAATATAGAAGTGCACATAAAGAGCGAGGAGCAGGATTTCATGGAATCGATAGCCAACTCAAACACCAGTGAACAGCTCAATGAACCAGACCAACTGCAATCAAGTAAATCGGACAATGCTCAGCCATGTCCCGTTTGCTCAAAGGCTTTCACGAACCAAGGCAGCCTTAAGAGGCATATTCGAATTCATTCCGGCGAGCGACCCTATACCTGCATCTACTGCCAAAAGGCCTTTAATCAGAGTGGTAACCTGCACAAACATATGAGATTGCACACAGGCGAACGCCCGTTTAAGTGTGTCGAGTGCCCGAAAACCTTCACTCAGAGCAATCATCTGGCCAATCACATACGCATTCACATACGTTCATGGCAGGTTAAGGAGCGGCCTAGCCACATCGACAGACTATACAAGTGCACAGAATGTTCAAAGGCCTTTACTAGCAAATGGTATCTGCAAGAACACATACGCGCCCATTCTGGTGAACGTTCCTTCAAGTGTAGCCTGTGCCCCAAGACATTTCCGAGCAGCGCAGATCTGCAGCGGCACAGTCGGGTTCACTCTGCCGAAAGGCCGTACAAGTGCATGCACTGTCCAAAAACGTTTACCCAAATTGTTAATCTGGAGAGGCATAAACGTGTCCATTCTGGTGACCGCCCCTATCAGTGTCCCCATTGTCACATGGCCTTCACGCAGAGCAGCCATTTGGTCAATCACATTCTCACTCATTCGGGGGAACGGCCTTTTCAGTGCTTGGAGTGCATGAAGAGCTTCACCCGAAAAGAGTATCTAGAAAAACATAGCCGAATTCACTCATTACCATAAGCAGGCATCCCAAAAATGTAAAATAATACTTTAATACATAGCACTAGTGTACATAGTAAATAAATCAAATTTATGTTAATTTAAATTAGCGTTTTGAAATTTTCCGCGTCTATCGGAAGTAATCGATTGTTAACCATCCACAGTCTCTTTTGAGTTCCAACATGACAACGCTCTGTTAGTCTACTGTGAACCAACCGCGTTACAGCACCCCACTGTAAAGTTAGCTGCGGCAGAAAATAAAAATACAACATAAATAGGGACTGCGAAAGTCATTAAAATAAATAAATAACAATAACAAAAAATGTGAAAAATGCAATTAAGAAACTAGCAAAGGCTATTTTTGTAATAAATTAATTTGCAATATAAAAATAATAAGAAAATAATACAGCGAACTGTGACGTTGGTATATAAATAAAAATATATACATACACAACATACGCACGTATGTGAGTGTGTAAGCGCGCGCGTGTGTGTTTTTATGTGCACTGTGTTTCCTGCTGCATAATTCGCCAGCTATCTCTTTTATTTGGAATATATTTTGTTACAGGTGAGTGAATGGTAAATCAATGCAGACATGAATTTAATAAATGCGTATCATATTGTTTGGGTCGCGTGCGCCCCATGACTCAATGACTATCGTCGATGCAGGTGGGACAACAAACAACAATACAAAATCTTAGTCATACTCATTGCAAAGCCCACATAAGTGTTGATATTTTTTTTTTTTTTTTTTTTTGCTTACCTCAGTTGTTGGCGCCGTTTAAGTGCAAATGTACTCAAAATGCACTCGTGCGCTGCGTACATTTATCCGCAGTCATAACAGACTTCAAACTGCTCACAGTGATCTTCTGTTAACATGAAAACGGTTATTGATGATCATAAAAAGAGCTACGGCATGGCGAATTGTGTAATTAGAACAAATTTAAGTGCATAGGAAGTCAAGTTGAAAATCGCTTATTATAAGCAAAATAAATGAAATGCCAAAAGGCTGAAACGCTTGACTACGAAATTGAAATGCCAAACCAACCCCAGTGGGCTAAGGTTTGTCAGCGTAAATATATATGTGTGTGTGCATATGTGCATGTGTGCGAATGCGTTCATTCACTTCCAAATTAGCTTTTGCCTCGCTCTTCACTGTGAATTTATTGTTGTCATTTAGTGCGGCCTTCTCTACAGCGTACTTACGGTTCTGTCTGTTTGTAGCTTAGCATTCGTTCTCTCTCCTTTTCCCACACGTTAACTGCGCAACTCTTTTCAGTTGACTTCACTGCGAACTTTATCTATTTACATGCACCCAAATAACTGGTCGTACGTTCAGTTGTTCATTCTAGGTGCGCGTGCACCGAGCCAAACGTTTTTCGCTTATAACAAACAATAACAGAGTGAAGCCAGAGTGTAGTACTCTACGTAGTCTTAATAGCCGCGCACAGATGTCGGCCAGCGCGAGCTTTTTTACATAGTAACCTGATCTTTATTAGAAATGGATTAAACTGTGCGAATCATGAGTTTTCGCAATGCACGAAGTAATGTTTATTATTAGCAATAGCACATATTTAAATATATTATATATCTTCAGCTTTTGACAAGCTTTTAAGTTATTTAAGTACCGACCAATTAATAGTGTTATATAATATTTAGATGGGACTGCATTGCTGTTTCGCGAAAGTTAATTATACGGGAAACTTATGTTAAATTGACTTTCACGCTCGTTAAATAGATGAAAAAGCTTACAGGCTAATATATCTAAGATTCCAATATATAGAAGTAATTTATCTTGAAATAAATGGCAATCAATGAATTACTGTAACAATATTTACTATGAATCATACTATTGTAAAATTTTGATTCATTTTTTAATGCGCATATACATTTTATAGATAGCCAACTGTATTTTAAGCACTCAACGTTCATTTGACGCTTTTTTGCAGTAGGGAATTACGTGAAAGCTTTATGTAAACATTATATTATAGTATAGAACTTGACCATCTACGCCGTTTAGCAGCCTAAAGGCTTAAAACGAATTGAATCCAATCAGGAACTTGCACTTAATTTGTACTATAATTTAGGTGCCAGAAAAATCCAAAATTTATAATTTTTAAGATAAGAAATATATAATAGAATACCAGAAATAAATGTATGCCATTTTTTGGCTAAAGTTCAACTTATTATGCACATCTTATATAGAAATATATTAGACTAGCAATATTTTTCAAACACGAAGCACACGAGCGAATGAAAAGAGAATTAATAATAAAATGTATTATAATATACGTCAGAGGCTATATTCAAATATATAAAGACTAATATAAGAGAGATTTTTGAAGAATGTTTGAAGCTAAAGGCATCTAGAGTTATAGAAAAGTATTCACTTTTCTGACAGATCATTAAGAACAAATTAAATTTGTATACTTATATAATTTAGAAAAATCTCACTAGTCATCTGTCTTATAAATAGGACGCTTTGCTATAGGTAGTTGTCAACAGTTCACAAGCGATTTTCACTTTCCAATTGAGCGTCACACGCAATGCTCGCCCGACATCCCGCTCACAGAGGCATTTCACTTAAATATGATTGAATCAGTTTAATTGATTACACAAACACAGACTCACACAAATGTGAGAAATGCCTGTGTGTGTGTGTTTAAATATGCTCAACATGATTTGTTGTTTACGCTTATGATTTTGCTGCAACGCTTGCAATTTGCAATTTGAGGGCAGGTCAGTGCACAGCAGAGTCTCAGCTGTGCTGGCAATAAGTGAATCTGCTATATTTATATATATATATATATATATATATATATATATATATATATATATATATATATATATATATATATATATATATAATAAATAAGCAAAAGCAACAACAGCGATGAGGAACTGAAAAATTCTCGCACAATTAATGTACATTTACATTACGCGCGCCTCTCTTTGCGCTTCACAAGACGCCGACGACACGCGTGTATACAAATAACACGCATATCACCTCGGCATAACACAGGGAACACAATAAAGAACTGAATACCCGGGCTCGAGGTCTCGTGTAGAAATGTAAATGTAACTCACTCGCTCACTTACTTAGGCGGCCCTCTGCCGTATAAAATTACGTGCGGCTGGTTGTAGGCATCCGCCCACACCAAAGCGTCAGTATTGATTTTATGGTATTTTGTGCGTGGGCCAGAGTAACATATGACATTTGGAGCATGCATACATATATGATTCTGGATGCAGAAAATGGGAATCGGATTACAGAAGAGTATAATAGGATTAGTACTTCCTGAGAATGGAAATCCATGCATAAGAATATTTAAAGCAATGCATTTGAAATTTATCAAGGAAATAAAATTGAATATGAACTTTGGTTTAAGAAATATAAAGGATTCAACAGGTGTGATGATTTGGCAAGACGAAAACTTTCTGAAAACCGTATTATGGTTCTTAGGTTCGTTGGGTTACCTTTCTATGTTAAAGTTCGGTAAAAATACACTATAATGTATATGCTCAGCAAAAATTATAAGTACTTATTTGCGAAATCTTAAAGC